TTGTGAAATACGGTTTTCGCATGCAATAAAAGCTTGCATTCAACTTAGTTGAAAAGAACATTTATCTCAATAATTCAAACTTGCCCGCTTGCATTGAAGTTTCAAAGAGTTTCGTGCAACCTGCAGCACTGCCAAGCCATCAAACTGTGGTCGCAACGATAAGAAAGGTCGGAATAAGTTTGCACTTGGCGGTAATAATTACGGTGTATATGCAAGGCAATAAGCGTGCATATAAATAGGCGAAGGTTTTAAATTTATTTCAGTTGCTTTGAGTTGTATACATATACCAGCAGACATAAATTGACCCGAACTAATAAAAAACACAAAAAAACATTTTCACGTTTTTTATTACAAATCTTTCGTAACGCCCGCAAATTAGGTTCCTTTCGGGTCCATATACCAACGCTTAATCACATTTAAATACACTTGTTGTAAGCCGCGGCTGGGATTGATTACAGTATTTTCAGAGAAATTTGCTTTTTCCGGTTTCGCCCCATTTTTGAGCGCTATTGGCATAATGATCGACGTCAGATTCATAAGTCCATGTCTCGTGAGTTTGATTGATGTAGGATCCACAGCTATGTTTTTAAGGTCGGATACCACTATTCGTAAATGTTTTTATGCAAATGTTTCAAGTGTATTCGTACAAATTTGTTATTACATGATTCTTACCCAAATCACTAAGTAGAACATTAACCAAAACTTTAGCAAAAACATTAACCGAAACTTTAACCAAAACATTAACCAAAACTTTATCAAAAACATTAACCGAAACTTTAACCAAAACTTTAACAAAAGCATTAACCGAAATGTTTTGAGTCGATCATCAAGAGATGCTGAGATTCTTTACTATCTCACTGTTGCCATCACGACAATTTTCAAGTATTTTTTCTTTGACTTTTTCGCTGTTATTGCCATTAACAGAGGTGGATGGTAAACTTCATGTCCCTCACAGAATACTTTGTGTTACTTCAATACTTGTGTTGATAGTAAAAAAGATTCCACGAAAGAATTCTGTAGCATTTTCAATTATTCCGTAGTCGTGATTTCATAAGAAAAATTTAATTTCCAAGAAAAATGTTGTTTTTCCTCCATGGTAAAAATTGCCGGAGAAACTTTTCGTGAAGTAAACAAACCACTGCCAAACAAATACTAATTTACATGTGAAGATTCTGCCTCAAACGAATATAAACCAAGTTGTAGCAACAAAGGAAACGAACTTTCAGTTTCCGTTTTGGATCAGTTCAGATCAGTTCGGTTCAAATTTTATCAGATTTTCTCATACTTCAGAGCTGATCAATATTAGATAAAAACTCTAACAGCCTCCAATAACCCAGTAACTTCCATTAAACTTTGTACTGCTAGTTTTTCTCTTCAAGCCAATCCCGTACAGCCGATCTCATTGCGAAAAAAAAAACGCTGCACCAAATTTGCCGTTGATTTATTTTTCACGACAGCCGACAGCTTCGTTGCCCTTGAGCGCTGCATGCATTTTAACTAAAGTGAAATAAATAAATGCTACAAAATGCACAAGCGAAGCCACAACACCTTTCAGCTGGCCCCAGCCACCGTGATTTTTTAATTTAACGCCTCGCTCGTTCGACACCTGCAAGCTGGAAAACGTGGGCAAAAGGTGGCTGCTGTTAATGCATTTGCGCTGAAGCGCAGTCCCAGAAGTTAAGCTCAGCGGAGTTAGCAAAACAGTGCATAGAAGTCCGGTGCACTCGCTGGTTATTAGTGGATGCATATTCGTATAAAAAGGAGTCGAAAAACTCCGTTGTAGTAAACATTTATCATGTTGTTTGCTTTCGCTATTACCAAGTTGAACTTTGCCACATAAACATAAGCTAACGTCAAAATATATGAATGCATATACATACATATATATAGATATATGTATATGGAAGCATACATGTGGCTGAACGTATGTATTTGTGTTTGTTAAATAGTTGATCATTTCCGCCGGAAGCAACAATATATTTTCCACTTTATTGCATTGTATTGTTCGCTTTTCGTTATATATTATTTAGCCTTTAATTAACAGGCGAAAACAAGGAGCGTGGAAATTTTTGAAAGGCATTGAATATATTTGAATCTTGACTAGTTACATACACACACATATATACATATATATTCCGCCATGTTCCGCATTTCTCTTTCAAATATAAATGAAGTGATTCGGTGCGAAAATCGAACTTGCCTTTCCAGAAACCGAATTATTGTAATGTGATGATGAATTAATTATTGAATTATTCTGAAAAGCAATTTCACATGTTTCAATATAATTTGAAAACAAAAAACCATTCTAACGGAGGAAGTTTGAATGGAATTTTTTCTATCAAGAGCTCGTCATTAACTTGAGCTTCATGATATCAGAACACTCTAATATTTGTCAAACAGAAGTGGCTGCAGTTAAGATAAATGTACTGCATTAAATAAGGCAGCTGTTTGGCAATGCTGGCCTTGACCTCGCTGACAGTTCAAACTTTCTGATCTAAAATAAGAACCTAAATACTTGCTCTTAACAATATTCATCTCACTGCAATGCTAGGAGTATTTTTTGGACACTGTTTTTTTATATACTTATGGCGTGATTATAAAAGCTGCAGTTTGTTAAAGCTGTGCGCAGGAAAATAAATTAAAAACTCTAATAAAGCTATATACTTTTTCAAATGTTTGCACTTATATATGTATATTTATGCATAATTTTGTTACTCTTTAGGAACAAAACAATAATTAAGATTTCGCTATAGGATTTTGTAAGCAGACAGAATACGCTATAGATTATGATTGCGGAAGGCACTTGCAACTGAACTCAATAGATATTTCGATACTGTAGTAATAATCTGAGACGCATACGCATTTAAAAAAAACTAAATTTCTCCATAAAATATAGCTTGTTTTTGTTACAATATTGTCAGGCAATTCCATTCATCAATCCATTCCCAATACAATATCCGCTCTGAAACTTCTTATACCCGGTGCTTTTTCCAGTTAAAGGTCTCCATTTTCCTAAAGGCCATTTGGAAACGTTCTGCTACAAGACACACACCTAACAGTTACCCCTACTGCAGCTGATGTGATATTCATGATGTCTTAATATGTGGTGTTACTTTCTCGAAAATATAACAGAAAGCTAACCATAAATACAATATAGCCAATAAGAGTAAAAACAACTACAAATAGATCTCAATTATCGCTTAAAAGTCTGCCTCTATACCTTGGTAACATGAAATCATTATTCTGCACAACTTCCAAGGCAGCTCATGTTATTTCGAGAAAATTTAAATTTTTGGTTAATAAAATCTTTTAATGTCAGAAAATGTTAGCTACTTCAAAGAGGTGTTTTAAATTACAAATCAGAAATCTCATTTCTTCTATCATTATCAGACACATTTTCCAAGAAAGCCGTGTGAAAATTTTAAATTGATCGGGAAAATACAAATTTTGGAGAAATTTTCTTTAGAAAACAGTGTTTTGTGAAAAACGCTTTTCAAATTTTGGAAGCCGATTGCGCTAATCTAAAATACAAATACCCTCAATATATGTATATGCATTTAATATACTATATGCAAAAAATCTGTTTTTAAACATTCGTTTAAGTTTAGTTTGAAGCAGTTGAACTTACTTGAGGTTTTCAAAATTGTAGCAACTTAATCTGATAAACCTGAGTTCCTCGTTCATGCTAACTGTAACTTGAAATTTCTTGCAAATAAATGGTTGCTGCTTAAAACAGGAGGCCAACAAATGAGCAGCTTCTTAAAGAGAAAATGATGTATACAAATTCAAAACGATATCTTAATATAATATCCGTGTATATACAGACGGACAGACAGACAGACGGACATGGCTAAATCGACTCAGCTCAACATACTGGTCATTTATATATATACTTTATAGAATCTCCGACCCTTTCTTCTGGGTGTTACAAACTTCGTGACAAACTTACAGAACTGAACAGGGTATAATAAAAAAATTTTAAAATTGTAAAAAAAAGTTTTACTATTATCTGCTCATTGTAATATGTAAGTAATAGGTGTACATATGTATCTCCTAATAAAAAAAAAAACATCAAATTTATACAAGAAGTTTTACAAAAGGCGCTCTTCCTCAAATAACTCACTGAAAATGCAGAACTATAATTACTCATCATAACTCTGTCCATTATCCGCAGTTACATTTGTATATATATAAAGTAATTTATTTTTATGCGATTTCAACAACCTACAGTCATGCAGAGACTATTAACTGCAAGTCAGCGCGCCTATAAATATGCTAAAAATTTTAAGAACTAGAATGTTTGCATGCAAATTTATTAAACCTAAACGTAACAACAATTTTATGTGTATTTCCAAATGTTATATTTCATTGCTTTAACTGAAAACCAATCCATCAAATGGATGTTTTCGCAATAAGCACACAAATAAGCCTACAAGAAATCAAAATTTATTTATACCCAAAAAGGGAGGCGTAAACGTAAGCGCACATCTTACTATGTTCTACCAATGAGAAATTAAATAAAAAAATACCAAAAAGGTGGACGGAAAATTTTGAAAGTTTGGCCTCCGGTGCTTCATAAATCATAGAGTTGGCATGCGCCTACAAGCATGCTTCAACACCTACATGATTTCTAGCAACAAAAATTTGGTTTCCAGTTCTAGTACTACATTTTTTGTTTTTAATTTTTTTCAAGCCGAGGCGTTTGCGCTTGCTATAAAGCCGTTTGTTTTTGCATACTAGATTTTAGCATTGTTAGACAAATCCTTAAGAATTTCTTTAAATGAAGTAGCAGTAGGCTAAGAAATTCAATGCACATTTGTGAAAGCATCCACTCTCGCTTAAAGGGACCCATTGACTTTTCTCACACATATGCATTTAATAAATCTCAAATTGCCTCAAATTTCTATCAATAATATGCTAATTACTAACAATGCCGCATGAATTTTATTTGAACATCGCCAAAAAAATCGAAATATCTCCACAACTGGCCCCCTTCATAGATACGCATCGTATTTCTATGTTGGCTGCCATGGATTCTACGCATGAGTCGTCCTGGTAGGCCACTGATACTGGAATTCCCCACGACACCGTGCTCGGACACATCATCGGAACGCAAGCATCAGATATTGTCCGATGTTGAACTGAAGGAGCGGTAGGCAAAAACATAAATATATTTATGCAAAAAAAAAAAAAAAATATTTACCTTTAATAATTAATTAAGTGTTTCTTGACTCACCATATACTTTTAACAATTTAACCAAACCTATTCTATTTAATTGTATGGTGTTCGTGATTAGCTCCTCGAAATCGCTACTCGCCAACGTGCTCGACATCGACGATGATTTCCGACACAACTGCCGGCCGATGACGCCCGGCGGCACTTTGCCGCACAATCCCGCATTCTATCGCACCGTTTATGGGTAACAGCAACGAGTTGCTGAGCAAAAGCATACACAAATGATATTTCCTATAAAGTAGAGTGTGGCCAGATGTTTGTATTGCATGCAGTAAAGCTTATTTATTAGACTGCTTTAGTGGTTTTTAGCGCGCAATAGTTTCGGTTGTGGCCACACTCCACTTTGTCGCCTTTATTGATTTGAAAAGCATCTACTAAATTCATTTATCTTCACTTTATAGTCAAGGCGATGACGGCAGCATCGGTCCGATCGGTAGCACCCGCATGCCGGATGCCGTTACGCATCACACGTGCATCAAATCAGCAACGGAATATGAACTAGGTTTAATTTTGAAGGAAATTCGCTTTATAACCGATCAGGTATGTTGGACGCTTCTCAAATCTTTGCTGTTAAGTTATAAATTTTTATTTGTTCTACATGAAAGTTTACAAAAGTTTATTTGGTAATATAAAAAGCTATGATGCTGTCTTGAAAAAAATCAAGCATTTTCCTAATAGCTTTTGCCCTAATGCAAAGATCAGCGGTCAAAAATAGTTTCTATCTAAAGCTTTTCTAATCTAAAGCTTCTGCCTTTCATTCATTAGTGTCAATAGTAAAAAACTTTTTTGAAATAAGAAAAAATTATACTTCTACAAAAGCTTAAAAGCTTCATAACATAAGTTATAGTTATAGCTTTCATAGGAGTCCTGATATTCGCTTTTCCATGTTTGAAGCTTCCATTATATATTCTTAATCAAGCTATAACCTATCGTTTTTCTAAGAGCTTTCTAAAGAATGAATAATTTTCAAACATTATGTTTTCCGCCATTCTCACAATATGACATGAGAGAAAATAATTTAGAAAACAATAAAAAGCCAGTTCCACCAATTTTCATAGTACATAGTGCTGATCTTAACTATACTCTGATTCAAGCTTTTTTTTATAACGATATCCAAGCTGCAAACTATTAATGATGAAATCTTGAAATAAATAAGAAATACAAAAATGAAAAAACTTCTGTAAAATTAAAATTTCTCAGATTATTTCTGAAAATTGCAGCTTCTTGTAAACAAAAAAGTTATACAAATCGATTTAGCACCTTTCTGCTGTTTTGCTATTATTGACACAGTATTCGCTACGAGAAAGCATTTTGGAAATGAGAAGGAAAGCTCGTTCACCAAAAGCTGTGTGCTTTCATAGTGTTGCTGATCTTGGATATTCAATATTTTAAGCTTTCAATAGATTATCATATCCTAGCTAAAAACTATTAATTTCGTCAAATTAATAAATACTATCATAATGAAGAAATCTAGTGTAAGAATACAATTTCTTTACGATCGTTATATATAGAAGGCTCTTTGTGTCCGTACTAAGCTGGTAGGGTTTAGGACTTTAATTAAGTTGCTTATTGACTTTTTAATTTATTAATTTATTATTTAAAATCATACATAATTTAAAAATTTGATGCCATTTATATGCTTCTTGTAAGCATAGAAATTTTCAGTAATGGAATAACTAAATTTCCATTAGCATTATATTGTAATTATTTGACATAATTTTATGTATGTATATATTGAGTTCCACAAACATATTGAAATTTACAGCCACAAATTGCATGGACTTTTGTAATACTTAGGCCACACTTTTGAGATATTTCTATCACTAAGCCAAGTTAACCCTGTATACATAGAAATAATTCCTATATACATATATAACTCCTTCATTAATTTTTATATTAGTACTACTTATAAAACATACCTTTATATATACCAAAATTAAATTACAAACGCAATAGAAAATAATATAAAATGAAAGAAAATAATTTACGTTTCTTTCTTACATTCTCTCTTTTCTGTTTCTTCGCGCTTCCACTTCAATATT